ATTCGATTCGTAGACGTCTGATTCGACTATGAACCTCATAGTCGAATAGTAGGAAAGTGTTATGTAACCAATGAGAAGCAGCTAGAGGTCGACCGATATATCGGCCGGCCGATANAGGACCTTCAGGGCATCTGAGATTTGCATCTCCAAGCAGTGAGACAATAAGCCGTAACACTGGGAGCAGACGAATGATGACATCATTATGGACAGAGACAGACACAGTGAACATCAGGAGGAGGAACATGTCACTCAAATATGACAGAATGACATCACAGAAAATCATGAACAGTTCTAACAGAGATCACACAAAACAGCCTCAATTTTGTCTTATGTAACTGTTCCTAATGTTTGTCAAAAAATATTTTCCATTTTAAAACTCAAGATATATAACATATTTATTGATACATTTCAGAATACAAGTAAAATGTTAAGAAAAAAAATTGAAATCAGACTAATATTACATCCATTATTAGTCTGCTTTACAATGATCGTGATGAATACTAATAATACTCCTATAATCTTGCTTCATAAACCTAGATTATAAACATGAGACAGTGATTTTTCACATACTATAACAAAAAAGGACAACATGGGAAAAAGACCAAACACAAAATACAGAAGGTGAGCAAAGCAGGGGTTTATCATGCTGTGTGAACAAAACTATGAGTGTGGACTTCCTGAAAAAGCTGAAGTTTATAACCAGCATTAGAATGTCTAACGTGAAACTACACTGACCTTCCTGTGTCCACATGAGATAACAGTGACTATGCAGTGTAAGGAAACTCAGTGGCATCTACAAATAAGCAATTATTATTCATACAGGACATTCCAGTGAATTACCCTTTGATTTGGACATAGATTTCAATGCAGGTATCTGTGTTCCCTTTTTAGATGCATGTCTGGCATTGCAGTTGTACTTGTAGCCGTTGTCCCAGTCCTCTTTTGAGACCCTAAACAGACTGGTGACAGAGTATTTATCCCCAGTCCAGAATGGCTCTCCAGTAATACCCTCCACCTCCTCATACTGCGTCCCATTTACTTGCCACATGATGTATATTTCCTCAGGATAGAAGCCTGTTACCAGGCAGAGCAGGAAGAATTCACTTTTTCCATTAAGGTCTTCAGGAGATGGTGTTTGGATGGAGACTGTAGGTGCTGTCATGCCTGAAATCAGTAAGTGAAAGTGCCTTTAAAAACATGTAGGTGAGTGTTTTTTACATGTCTGAATGTCACCTTGAATAAAATTATATCTACTCATGACTCATGACATGACAGAAAACTTTGAAATATACCTTTTTGTTCCAAAGTGACGGTCTTAGTGATGGTAGGTCCACCCTTCTGCTGCACACTGCACTTCACTGATTTCCCACTTTCCCAGTCATTCGTTGGCAGAGTCAGGATGCTGCTCCTTCTGAAGAGATGATCTGCCTTTTCTGGAGCAGTCTGTGTAATCTTATCT